CACCCATCTTACCCTCCTGGCTTTTCCTCTATGACTTCTTGTTTCCAAAGTTTAAACTGAAGCTCAAAGGAAAGGAATTAATGTCTTGGAGCTTCAGAACAATTCACAGCAAGTACTTAGGGTATTACAAAAGAAGAATCTCAGACAAGCTTCCAGTAATGGGAGAATTGCTGGGTTAGTATTAAATCCTTAAGGGAGATATGATGCAAACAAATCTTTGTTTATAAAAATTTGCATAACTTTTTCATACCACCCTGTAAGCATAATTAGTGGCATTTTTACAAACAAATATCATCTTATTAGTAAAAAGTAAAGAAAAAAGTAAAGCTGTCCCACTATATGCCATGCAGGGCACTTGGGGAGAGGATGCATAATTCCAACTCATTAACCTTGGCACTAGATGGGGGGCGAGTGGTTAGTGTCATGCCCCGACCATGCTTTACCCCTGGGAAAGAACCCTGGTACCCACTGAATAAGGGGCTGGGTGGACCCCAGAGCCAGTCTGGATGCAGGGGCTAGAGGAAATATCCTCTGCCCCCATCTGGGATAGAACCTCAGTCATCTAGTCCGTAGCCAGTCACTATTTTATTATTTAGTGTTCTGTCTGACGACAGGTCCATATGAACAGGATCCTTCCATCCTTTTCTCGGACTGGGACCTGTTCATATACGTTCTTGGCAGATGATCCAGAAGTGGTTTGCCATTGCCTTCTTCTGTGTGTGAATGGAGTAATTGTTGGGATGCCACGGAAGAAAACTCCGTGTTGCCTAGACTACGGCCTTGCCCAACACAAGTTATAAATTCGGGCACCGCCGGGAATCAAACCCGAGACCCCAGGATTACAAGGCCAGCGTTCTAACCGCTAGACCACCGTGGTGGTCTCCAGTCACTATACTGGCTGATAAAGTCAAAACCATTAATAGACTACAAAATAGTAATATAAAGACAAGCTTTAAGCATAAACCCTTGTCTTCTCACCTTGACATCCCTAGATGCTTGAAGATTTGCCAATGACTGCTTCATTCCCTTACCCACTTGCCAGATAATGGCTTCTGGAGGCTGGGCCTTGAATGGCCATTCTCCACAAAGTAATTCATACCAGACAGTTCTGAAATAAACATAATATACCACATGTAACATTTCCTATACAAGGTTTACAGTTTTAGCAGGGAATTCTTTAGGTTGCCTTCAAATTCTGAAATAAATGAAGACAACACATGAAATACAGAAAGATGTATGAAACCTTTGAAAACAGGCCATCTGTCTAAATTGACCATTTTTTATGGAATCATCAAATGTCTTCATTTGCTGTGTAGTCAACATTCACCAGGTTATGCCATCCTCAAACCAAACTTTTGTCCATTCTTCTCTCTCCTCCATTTTGTGTTCCTGCTGTATCCATGTCCTCTCTCTTGCACATCTTCCCTCATTTGATCTCTAAACCTTATTCTTGGTATACTTTAGTCATATAGACATGTATTTAACATCTGTTTTAAGCTCTCAAAGAAATTCTCTCTTCATCCATGATCAACAAATGTCCATATCACTGTATCATAATTCACCAGCATTTCACATAATGTTTCTAATTTCAAATTTAGCCAAATGTCCTATTTCAGATTTTATTATTTCTTGTTTCTTTCTTAATACTATGCTGTAAAAACAAAATGTGAGAGGATCAGTTGTTTAGTGAGAAATCTGGAAGTCTCAAATGTCAAACTTTAGTAAATAATTTCATCAAAATTGCTTGGCATGTAGTTACTTATTATTTTATACAAAAAAAATTGGTATATTAAATGGGAAACTTTTTAGCTACTACTAAAATCCAATAGAACGAAGTTATAGTCCCTAGAGCAGTTTCCATGATAAGGACTTACCCAAATGCATACACATCAGAAGCCTTCGTAAAAGGAAGTTCCTCTTCATCATGCTTCTGTCGGACTCGGAGGCTTCGAATGATTTCTGGTGCAAGGTAGCAAAGCCAGCCAGGAGGGATGCTTAAACCATTTCCTTTCCTAATGAAAACACAGGCTGATATTAGTCACTTAACAAAATGAGAACTGGCAAACTTGTTTTCCAGTTCACTTCTAGTGCCTTATCACTTTTTAAGAAATATAGCAATAACCATATACCTGAATGATTTAAAAACCCTGGAGTGGAAAGAAATGTTAAAGAACATCCAGTTTTATTTGCATTAATACTATTTACAAAATTACCAGTGTATGACAAAGAAAAGATCTGTGTATTTTAATCTTTTATTTCTCAGAAAGTGTATAAAAATGAAGTGACACTAGGTTATAAAAAATGTTATAATGTTTGATTTGATACTTAAAATATAAGAATGCTAAGTTTAAGTACCTGTTCCCAAAACAGAGTTTTGTAACACTGAAGAGTCCAAAATCAGTGATAATAACCTTCCCATTTTCTAGAAATATGTTCTTGCTCTTCAAGTCCTTGTGGACTATGCCTCTTGCATGGAGGTAACCCATACCCTAAAAACAAAAACACTCAGCATGTATGTCAGTCATAAACAACATATCATGAAACCAACATGAATATATCTTAACCCTTCAGGACTGAGACAACATTCAATATCCTCTCAGACACATAACATAAGGGAAAGTCATCCCAACTAACAAAGTGAGTCATTATAGGGTTAGTTAATATCTGACATCCCATAATAATTATTCATTCTCAAGATCCAGACAGTTCAAGTTGTTTACAGTTACGGCATAAAACTGCTACAAAACACACATGAGGTGCATTACAATGAGATAAAACCAACTTTCAAGTTTAAATGAAGAGTTCAACAATTAAGAACTTTGTCAATTATCCCACTTCCAAAAACTTCAGGCCTTTTAAATAAGATGATTTATATGAAACTAACAGAAAAACAGAGACTGACACAGTAATTAAATTGAATTAGTGACAGGGAGGGGAAAAAACTGAGAACATAATAGTATGAGTACTTCTATATTCTGTGAAAGTTTCTCTCTTTCAATTTTGCTTCATTGATAAGTTTTAGCTTCCAGATTATACTTATTATTATGAAGTAAAATACTAGTCAGATAATCAACCAATTCCATAGTATATTCCAAACAAGGTTAATGGCTGAAAAACAAAACTACTTACTCAACAGTATTATGTAACAGCTGCTATGTGATCTCACAAATCTGTTTATTAACCACAGAGTTCAATGTTCTCACAGACAAGTTAACAACCTTTATCAAAATATGCTAAGTTTCCCTTGAAAAATTTATAGTTACATACACAAATGGCTTCAAAAAAGCCATCTGCTAGACCCTAACCTAAACCAGCTAAATCCTATCCTCAACTTTACACTCAATTTCTCTAATATCCATTTTATCTTCCCATCTATGTTTTGGTCTGCAAAGGTGTCTATCATTGTGCTTCCCCCAACCAAAATTTCAACTTTAACCTTTCCTACATGAATGTCATATCTCCTGCACATCTCATTATTCTTTATTTAATCACCCTAACCTAATTGTCTTGTTTGCTATTACTTCCTTTTTTAAAGGCCCACAGCACTTAGTTCTTCAACATTTTCAATCTATGTTCTTTCCTCAGAATTACAGATTTAATACTCACAAGAGAAAGTTCTCAGTATTTCCAACTGACGACTGGTGGTAATTACAATTTTCTTCATATTATGACATTACCCTTAATGTGACCTTACCTGAGAAATCTGTTGTGCAACTATTGTTGTTTTATTCATGTTAAACTTGTCTTTTCGTAGGTGAATGTGAGTGTAGAGAGTCATGCCTTTGCACATACTGGTGACAATAGCAAGTCTTGGAAGTTTCATACATGCACCCATAAACAGCACTAAATTCTCATGGCGAGTTTTACGAAATGTAGCAACCTACAAGATCAATGTATCATATCAGCACAAGAATTAAATTGCAACCTATACACAGTATCATTATCAAAACTTTTAATTAACATCTTACTTCAACTACAATCACAGAGGCCTAAAATGTGCACTATTCAAAGTCCCCATTTGCTCTTGCCAGCTGCATCATCCAAATTACAAAATGGAGGTAACCATGACTCTACTGGTATATTACTTTATGCTGTCCACTGAAATTACCAACGTAAAACTAATTAAAATGTGTCAAAATAAAACAGTAATGCTTCAAGTTATGATGTAGTTGACTCTCTTGGCCTCTACCAAAAATGGAAATGGTTGACACCTATTATTATTTGTGGAAAATGGAAGGGAATTACCCCATAGCTGAGACTAGGAAACCAAGTGTCAGTGATGCAATGGTAAGTGTTGCAATAGCTCAGAACTCCAGCTCATACACAGGAATTCATGACTGTTTCAACAAAGAGGGCTTTGGCAGAGAAAAATCTATCAGTGATGAACATAAACATGACAGTAATTGGAGTAAGCTACAGTGAATTCAAAAGTTTTACTGACACCACTGTGGACAATCTTGAACTATTCACAAATTTTAAAAATGAGATCAACTTATATCTGAGTGCCGAGGAAGAGAGCATGAAAAAGGGGTGGGGAGGGAATAAGAGAAGTAGCTAATTCCTTTTTAACCAACATGAAAAGGAGCCCTTGCACTATCAAAAAATACACATGTGAAATGCAAATGTTGTAAATGCAACAGACCCAATGCAAGAGTTAATTTCAAAGACATGCAACAAATTCCCCAAACACAAGAAAATTTACTTATATTTTAAAATCAGTGACATAAAATTATGATCAGTGATATTCAGTTGTACTTTGATGTTGAAGCTCAATTTGAGACTTCAATGCAAAGATATTTGTATTTGTAATGAATACTACATATATCCCAACTTTAGAAGTAGTGTTTATTTATTATACAATATCACCCAATACCTAAGCTCTGCAGACAGAGCTGTGATGAAAACAGCCTAATCTGAATTAATATGATTTAGAATTTGTACTTTCTGGTCCCAAGGACTTTGAATAAATGACGATTCAGTGATTTTCTGAATAGCATGTTCTCTGGGTCTTTGTGGAATACACAACAGTAGTATTTTACCATAATGCTCTGACAACATTATGCCACCAATTAAGATCAATTCTTCAATCCTCCTCTCTGTATTTGTATTCTTCAGTATAATTACCCATACATTTCATTTTAAACCTTCACTGCAGATGGATGTGTTGCAGCTTCTGCATTATGGTACTCTCAAATATGAGAAGAAAAAAAAATTATGCCAGAAATCCCTGAAAGTCCAGGATGTTGACTTAACAGATTACATACTAACACCATAAAAAGTAATAAATAAAGTTTTCATGAGAGACTGTATCCACTGAGACACAAACTCAAACATGGCTCCTACTAAACAAAGTGAAGATACGAAGTAAAACAGATCTAACAAAGATGGGTTAAGAACAATTCAGACATTAAAACACAAACCTCTGATTTAAATGCTTCAAGTGTTTTTTCATCATCCAGGTAATCCATGTTGAGGACTTTGATGGCAACATCCCCATGCCAATTTCCTCTGTACACTGTGCCAAATCGACCTGTTCCAATGGGCTCTCCAATTTTTAGTTCATCATATGGTATGTCCCATTCCCTCATAGACAACTGTCAGAATAAACATCACAGAAAAATGGTAATGTATAAACCATGACAGCTTAATAGCTATATAAATTAAATGTGAGCCATAAAAGATTTTTGTGCATACAGACAATTATCACTAGAAGATGGCTGTCTTCTGGGTTGTTGTGCCTTGTAGTCTGGTAGAAATTTACTGACGTCTCAGAGATCCTTGCTACCTCCATCATCATGGCAGACTACACAGTGCAACAACCCAGAATACAGCCATCTTCAGACTCACTGCTGTGAAAACCTCAAACCTTACAATTATCACTAGGTTTCAGACAATCATCCAGTAATATTTACCATATTAAATGAGATAATGAGGGCACTTTTGTAGTTCTCAGATTATGTGCATGTAAATTATGCACTAATATATTACACACAAGCATCATGTGTGCAGATGATGTTGCTGATTCAACACTTCAAGTGAAAGCAGACAATTCTTTTTCAGCAAAGACTGTTCAGAAAGTACACCTGTTTGTTGTTCATTCATAATTTGATAATTTTCAACTATATTTCTGAAGAAACAAATTGCTGATACAGTAGACTCCCAATTATTTCGATTGGTTGGGAAGTGTATTTCGCCCAGATAATCAAAACACTGAATAATAAATAATAATAATAATAATTTAAAAAAAAGGAAGCAGCAAATGTAAGAAATGTTAACGTTCATTTACAGAAATAAACTACTTAAATTTTTAAAGATTTAAGAACAGTATACAGGATTTTATATATTTAATATAGCACATACTAGCTATTTGTTAAAAAAAATTCCAACAGATAATAATAATGGTTTATTGTCATAAATTTAAAGTTTTAGCAACAATTGATTTATATTAATATGTTACATAATGTCACTGTTGTATTACCTCCATTATTTTTAAATGCTCTAACTTTTACAACACATTTTCTAAATTATTTTTTAATTCTTGTTTAAACCAGAGAGACCCTGGTTAATCTGCCCCTGAATAATCAGAACTCTACTGTAGCTGCCATTACAGGATTTTATATTGCCAGTTTAAAAGTAACTCAGCACCAACATATACATCCCACATAGATAGAACAACTCCAATATTGCTTAGTGACCTGCACATCCCAGGTGTAAGACCTACACCAACATTTTACAGCTTTACAGCACCACCTGTAGGAATGTTACAGAACTAATTCCTCTTTGTCACTTGTGTTGGACCATCTAACATTTAACACAGTACGATAAATTATCAATTAATTTTATTTTTAAAAAATATGATACTTACACTGTTTTGTCTAGGCCAAGACCTATCTACAACTTCACCATCTGACACTTGGCTGTCTTGGGAATCCACCCTAACAGGAGTCCGTTCAGAATCTGTACTGATACTCCCTGAGCCAGAAACAGAAACTGTTCTATCACTATCATTTGACTTGTGAGTTTCAATCATTTCCTCAAGGGCAGGAGGTTCCTTCAGTGGATGGGTCTCTAGAGTAACTCCTTCTTGTTTATGGGTCACATCTGGAGAAAAATAAAGAAATTACATTTTCTTTTGTAGTACTCTGACATGGTATTGCTGTAACTGAAAATTTAATTACAAAATATATCATATTTTGACCAATAAAAAATCAAATTAACTTGTTAGGTCGCATAGAGGAAGGTAATTCCTCAAAGGAAAATTATGGATCAAGTCTTAACCCTTAGGGGACTGACAATGATGTTTCAACTGTTGGATATTTGTATAAATTGCCTATTTAAAGCCAAGCTGAAAGAAAAACATATACAATGTATGGTCGTGATGGAGCACTAGTTGATGCCAACAGAGAAAACCAAGTGTCTGGAAGTTTAGCAGCTTTACATATGGATAAAAATATATTTACAATGCATTTCAAGGAAGTTAGCTGAAAAAAGCTCTAAAAAGTGTGGAATTTCTAATGAGTTCAATCATACAGAGAACAACTTATGAGACAATTAAGGTTCTCACAGATGTGAGGATGACAATGTTGTTCTGATTTGTGATGTCTTGCAGACTTGTGGGTAGGTACCAATGTTTTGGACAGATCCACTGTTTCGAACTTCAGAGAGATAGTCAGGACCAACAGAAAATCTCCATACAGGGAGACAACTCCATCCCAAGAACATGAAAACAGATGATGGCTCCTTCCTGAGCAGGTCACGCAGTCTCTCATCCATGCCCTGAAGGGATGCCAGCAGGCTCTTGCCATGGATATGACACATACTTCCCTCATCCCTCCTCTACCCATGGTTCTCCTGAGAACACTCCCTGAGATTGGTTATAAAACTCAGTCCTTTTTTGGGCTTGCTGTCCACTGCCGTTTCCCCATCCTCCTCAAGGTCCTGGCTTACCAGGCACTGGGTTCTTGAACACTATCCTCTGGCCTGGCTCTGAATTTTACCTTGCACACAACCCCCTGGTTTGTTTCTCCCCATGCCAACCTAACCCTCATCCCTGTCTCTCTGCATGCAGACTTCCTATTGCCCCTGGCCACCTCCTCCTCATTCCTCAATTCCCCATCCCCAATCCCTTCCTCTGACCTTGTATAAATAACCCACTTACCAATACCCCAACTTCAGCCCTGAAGACAGCTACATTACATTTCTCTAAAACAGGGGTGGCCAACCCAAATGATCTTTCGGGCCACTTTGGAAATGCATCATAACTCCGCGGGCCACATATAAAATTATATATCCCCATATTAGATTTAGATACACTATAGACATTTTTTTGGAGTGAAAAATTGAAACATAATGAGTTATTATTATTGTGTTTACTATTATTCTTACATGTAAACATAGACAACACACTGTTTGCCGAGATAGGCTTAGGTTCGAAAACAGTTTACTTTTATCAGGTAAAATATCCTTCACAACAGCTTCCAAACATTCTGTCACAAATTTACCATCCGAAAATGTTTTCATTTTTTTTACAATCACAAATGAAACAGAATAGCTTGCCTTAACAATATTGGAAGGTTGCTGTAATGCTGCACCAAACATTTTTTGTTGAGCCTTTAATTGCGACTTAAACTCCTTGAGCTTCGATTGTTTCACTTCTTTATCGAACTTCAAATAATCCTTATGTTTTGTTTCGTAATGCCTCTTAACATTATATTCCTTAAATACAGCAACGACCTCTCGGCAAATTAAACATAATAATTTTGTATTTTGAACTATGAAGAAGTACTTTTCTTCCCATTCATCGCTATACTTTCTATTTTCATCCACTATTCTTCTTTTCTTTGCAGTCATACTGAAAATAAGAGAGATATTAAATATATCTATTTTTAATTGTTAAATTAAAAGTCATTTTTAATTTAATAGGAGTTATTACCTGGCTGTTGTTGTTTTAATTCACCCCTGCTCTAAAACATGGTATCTACCTACAAGCCCACATAGTGTATACAACCCAATTCATCATCATCATCATGGAATTTCCTTTTTGGAGTTGTACATGATTCCCTTTCACTTTATTTCTCCTTCTCTGTCTCACTGCCCCAACAAAAATGTCAACATACATATATTAACAAATATTAACAAATAGCAGTGCTACTCAAGAAAGGAGCAACTGGATCAAGGTCATGTTATATCCGTAAGTAAGAACAGACAATGCCAACAAAAATAAGCAGTTCTTGCCTGGAAAATGGAACTGCTGCTTTGTAGTAGAATGAGGCGTATGGGTAGTCATGATGAGAGCTGGGCTGGAGGGAGTTGAGCTGTTGCAGCTGGAAGTGTTGGAACTAGAATCTGGACCTTGCTGTATGAAAGAAAACAGGTTAGCTGCCATGCAACAAATTATTATTGATGTTACTTTAGTTTCATGCACTGAATTAGTTTTGATCACAATATAATGTGTCCTCAACCCTCCCTCAACTATATTCAGACACCACACATATTACCATAGTATTGTAAAAAAACAGTTACATTATTTAAAACATACTGTAAACTGGAACAGTTATGTGGATAAAAAACTTCCATTCTATGCAGTTTGACTTATTAAAGCACCAAGACATTTTATATAAACCATAATAAGGTTAATTACTTTCATAAATAAATTTATAAAGAAGGATTTAACAATTATTTTTATTAGTATATTCAGTTCATGTAACAATGCAGTCTAATTAGCAAATATAGCATGTAAGGGGAGAAAAACCAGAAGAAAATAAATACAATTAAATAAAAAACTTGAGGCTGTTGTATGTGCAAAACTTACTGGAAAGGGCGGTATGTTGATGGAAGGTTGAGGATGCTGTCGCTTTGGATTCTTTCGATTACCAAATATGTTAGATGCACGATGACTTGGAGAGGACCTACTCAAGCTTGGTGACTGGTTTGGTAAAAACCCTGCAAAAAAGATAAGCACTATAAACTATTCATATAAATAGACATAACTGACCAGAGTCTGGAATGTAATGAAACACACATTACAAGTCCACCATCTACTACAGTTTCATATGCAGTATACTGTGTAAGTTACAGGTGCAGCAGATACTTACAAAGAGATATAAAAAACTGGCATTTTATATACATATAATCTATGTAGCTAACAACATAATTAAATAAATATAATGTAAGAGATGAAGACATAAAAAGCAATTTAGGGCCATGTCTGTGTAGCACTCTGCATTTTTTATGGGTGAAAGGTACTCAAAAACAAGCTTATGAGGTTTGTTATATTAACTACTAAATCACAACCTCTTACATTAACACATAATTCCTATCTAGACAGCTCATCACAGGAAGAAAAGAAAGCCAGGTATCTCTGATTCTGCCATTCCTGTGAGAGTCCAATATTAGGGAAATGGATAGAAAGTCAACCCATTGTCAAATATCAATCAGTTGAGGAGAATGACAAACATTAATTCAGCAGCATAAGGTGAACAAATGCAAAGTGCAAAGCTGATTGGAAAATATAAAATAGAGCCAATTTACTGGATGCAGTCATGAGTGTAATTAAGGGGTGGTTCCAGTGGGGTGGGAAGGTTAACTTTAAATATATGTCAACATTGCATGTTGTAATTTGCATTAAAGAACCCAACTGGTACACAAATTACCAAGTTACTCCATTTCTATGTTTGGTCACTGTATAAGTATATAAACATTCTGATTCTCTGTGGACAAATACCACTTCAACACCATCACTCCTGAGTGGTCATCATGCAAGTGCATAAACATTCAAATACAGTCCCTCTGGACTTTTTAGTCCTATCAGAAACTGAATGGAATATAAATGCTCTTTGGAATGCAAATGAAATGGCAGTTGACAACTAACAAATAACTACAACCACAAACAACAGCATTGTGTTACCAGTGGGACACACAAAATAGCAGTAATGACAAAGCCATGTTGCCTGATCTAAGTTTGCATGATTATGAAAAACAGTCACAACAGTTTCATGAAAATAATGAAACAGCAACAATGTCACATTGGCAGACATATATTTACTTCATTGTAGAAAGTAATCATGAGAACTTGTTATATAAAAGATAATGAAATAGTGCTCTCATTAGAACCAAAACAATTTCTGTATTTAATATTACTACAATGATGGTGTAAGAAGACATACATAATTTTTGGCGATACTTGTTCATCTTTAAAACACGAACAGTTTGTGAGCAAATGGGACACTCCTGGGCATAAAATATCATACGAAATCAAGCATATGCTATGTATGTTATTAATTTATCATGCTTCTTGTAAGAACACATACACTAAGATTTCTTTTTTACCATCTGGCTGCTGCAATCTTTTACGAAACTCATCAACCAGCTCTCTTGGCAGCCCACATGATGGTGGAACTTTAGACTCACAATCACGATGGCATTTATATTTACATTCTTTGCACTTCAAACCTGAAACAATAAAAAGAATATTTTTCTTCTTCCAAAGACATTTGTTTCCAGTTCCTATGGGTCATTTAACAACCAAAGTTCACCAAATATTAAAAAGAATATAAATTAAAATTAGCAAATCATTTCATATGTATAAATACAAACAATATTACAACTATTATTTTTATAAAAAATAATTTTGGTAGCAACAACATTCTCTGTCATACGGCACAAATCGACAACCTTGAAACTGATGCTACCACACTACGCACCAACAAATGTTGAAATTCCTGCTAAAATATATAAAAATTATGGATCATAAAATGTATTACACTCAAGCTCCACCATCAGTCAGCAAAGAGCCCTGTGAACCCAAGACCTGTATAATACATGTATAATATTCATACATGGTCACTTACAGTTCTTGACATAATGCCTTCTTTTATCTACACAATGGTCAATGTTTCTATACTGCAGAAAACATTTCTAAAAGATTATCCACAAGAAATATGCCTTCCTTTACAAACCATTTTGTATTTAACAGTATGTCAACAGTAAACAACTGTCACAAATTCAGCTGTTATTTCCTCCCTCTTAGACTCTTAGCTCTAAATACATGTTTTATCCCCTGTGCTCTGAACAGTTACATGAAAAATAAGTCTGAATCAACAAAAAACAAAAAACTGTTTACTAACCTGTGCCAAGAAACATCTGCTTGTCACAAAAGTCACAAGTTGCCATCATCTTGAAAGTTTTTGTAAATCGATGGTTTATAGCATGGCACATTGGGCGTGTTATAGTCGGAGTGTGTGGAGATTTTGGCACTTGCAAGGTGGCTGAAATAGTCAAGACTGTGTAATAAAGAGAGGCAAAATAAATGACTGTTGGTAATTTCAATGTAAACATACACTAGGTTAACCTACTAATATTCTCAACATATGGTAACTGGCAACAAAATGCATCAAAAGATTTATATACAGAACGATGCACCTGAAATGAAAATGTATATGAATATATTTTTTCATTACAACTTTGTATTTAATTTAATTACTTTTCATGTTTGCCCTTACAGATATATTTGTAACTACATATACAAATACAGTGGCCCCCTAGTTTACAATGTCATCAATGAAAAATAAATTTCTCATAGGGTACCATTGTTTCTAATACTGATATATTTTGTATTAATAATGTCACACATTCCCCAATTTCAGCCAATTCAAATTCTCCTAGGTGGACTCAGCAGTCCTCAATCAATCAGCATCCCACTTTATGAGCATTTGGAGCTCATGGCTTCCTTTCAGTGTCTGATGTGCATTGTTGTCTTGAAACAAATTAAGCCTTTAACATGTATTTAAACGTCAAGCCAAAAGAAGAAAACACTTCAGAAGAGCTCTAAAAAGATCAAAATATTCTAGCCTGCTAAACATGTAACATGTCACTAGTAAAGATGACTGTAATTAAAAAAAATTGTTGGTTTCACAGTAAAAAGAAGGGGTTAATCCAAAAGATGCAACAAAATGAGAAAAAAACTTTTAAGACTTTGTACATAATACCACACCAACATACCTCCACCATCATTCAAAGACTACACACCATCTGCAATCAGCATTCTTGACATCAAACTATCAACATGAGTAACAGAAACAGACATCACCCTCGCAAAACAGGCAAACAGAAGACAGTAAAGTTGATAAGGAATGTGCTGTAACAATTCTGAATGCCAGTCTCTAGAGACACTTTCTGTACTCTGAGATATACTAAAATAGAAGATACTGTCTTCACACTAACATTAGGTTGGATACTGACCAGTCTAAGAAACACATAATAAACAAAATATTTCAGGAGTTTACTGTACTCCCATTGGTGGTCATTATACTGAAACCACCAATCAAATGTCCTAATGATTAGCATACTGTAATACAAATTCCATATTAAAACAGGGTAACATACATTTGCAAATGTTGTCATCACTGCCATCCATGCCCACAGAATTATATGGGGGAGATTTCACAGGACTCGATAGCAATGGCGATATATGTCCAATTTCACTGCAATATGGGCCAGGTTCAGTAGGAAGACGACCACGACGTGGTATATGTTCCACACTATAACATAACAGAATATGGCATAAATCTTAAAATTAAAAATATTCTGCCAGTAAAAGATGCAGTCCATTCATCTACCTAACATCATGGTACTGAATCTTCCCTGAGCAGTTCATAGCTATTCAGATGGTTAGAAATTTCCTTATCATGACACATGAATTAATGTTCATTAATGTCACCAATAAATCCTAACTTCAGCTAATTCACACCTTCACAACCTACTTCCCATAAAACCACTTCTTCAATATTATATTCCTATCCAGTATAATTAAAAGATCATCTTTAAGTACATTACCATACAACTACAATGAAACTATATCCAGGTTTGCTAATGTAATTAGATGGGGTACATCTATCATATGCCCATGTAGGAGAGGTTCAGAAAAACAGTGTGAGTTAATTTTTAATGCATATACCAAAATGAAAATACAATTATTAAGCGATTTCATTACTAAGTCACTACAGAAACTGCCATGCTTCCAACTGCTAATTTTATGAACAGGAGGCACAGTATATCTAGAAGCAGTGGTGTTGTCACAGTTAACAGTGCGTTGCTGTCTGTGGCTGCATACTTATGACCATAGCTAACAACATTTTAAAAAATGAAAAACTGTTCTTCTAGACCTTGTCTGCCACCTAAATTACAAAATAATAAAAGTGCTGTATCAGAAACTGGATTCTGCTTCCATATTCAGGTAAAGAAAGGGGAGAAAGAAGACAGAAAGCCTATCTGTTGGGCCTCCTGGTTCAGTTAACCTCAGATATGAGGTGAAGAATGAAAGACAATGATACATCTATCCGTAATAAGGGAAATTAAAATATAGGGTGGAGAAGCAGTTCACTCACTTAGAAAGGTTATCAGCACCTTCCACACGATTAGCTAATTGGGATTCATGTGATTTTGACTTTGTAAGTGGATATGCATCAGCTGGTTGCTGTAGTCCTGTCTGATGCTTCTTACATGGAGGAGGAGTTGTTGGGAACTTCCCTCTATCACCACCTAAGAATCAACAGAAATATTTCTATGATAAAAAGAACTTCTGTGACTGTCATAACCACACACACACTGATTAACACAAGTCAAATAACAAAAAACCACAATATATGTCCTGGGATCTCATCAACCCCAGTCCTAGCCACTCGGATTTTAACATCTATCAAGATACAATTATGTATTATAAAACGGTGTGGGTAAATATATGAAATCACTGCAGTAATTCTGAAGAACTTCAAATAATACCACTGGTTAACTACCCAGTATTTTATTATACATGTTTGATGTCTGAATGAAACTCACCTTTACCTTTGTTGACAGGAGGTGTTGAGGGTGGTGTGCACTGGTGCACAGGAGGTGAAAGTGGGGCATGACCTTGATGTGTTGGTGTGCTAGAATGGGGCAGAGAAATAATGGAAGATGTGGATGAAGCTGTAGCAAGTGTAGAGATGGAACCACCTAAGTTGTTGTAGTTATTGTTGTTGTAAGGGAGACAATCCTCTGATGGAACTGAGGAGCGGTCAGCACGATTTCGAGGAGGTTGAGGTGAAGTGCTGCCAATATTCTTTATTACTTGGTGACAATCCCATGAATCCCAATAGAGAGTAAGTTCAACTGCTTCACTGGGTGTCTCACCACGCAGAAGAATTTCTAAAAAGAAGAAGAAAAAACGTAATAACAATAGGTAATGGTTAAGTACTCTCATTGCCTAACCACTGTGCTATAAAATAGCATGGAGGCTGGCAGAAATTGTGAACTAATAATTATCCCATTTAATTATCCACTTCTGCACATTAATTCCATTAGCACAGATTCAGACTACCTTAACATCAAAACTACTTCTCTTATAACATAAAAATTATTACACACAGTTTGTGGGTATGCTTATAGATGTTAAACAGAATGATAAATTTTGATTCCACCCAACTTTTTGTTTTACACTGTATAAAAAATGTTGTATCAATACAACTGCAGTTAAATGACACCCGTGTCACACTCACCTCAGGTTACCATGTTCGTATTACCAATGGTAGAGAATTATAGCAAAAACAATGGAAAGCATCTGACATGAAGTTAATACTAAATTTCATGAAAATACATAAATTAATTCAAATGTTACTTTGGAGAGATTGGAGATTAGATGCACATGGACATGACAATAATGTAAGTCTAATCTTCCTTATAACATAAGAAAAAGAGAGAACATTAACTTCAATGTATCAGAACAACATTAACATGTACCTGTATATTTCTTAAGATTGTGTAGGGCTCGGGTGAGACGACGCACCTCTTCTTCCCTTGCATTTCCCTCACTGAGGATGTTACGAAGTTCATGCTCAGACTTCTCCTGTAATGCTTCCAGTGTTTCCACTTTCTGACATACACACTGAACAGTCACACAAAAACAAATGTAAAGTGAATGCCAAAGTTATATATCCCATGAATTTCATAAAAGTTTATTTTCATGAAGAGAAAATAACTCTAAGAGAAGAGTGTTTCTTTAGAAGCTAACAGTATGCTCAGCTAGTCAACAAATTCTCAACCTTTTATGGAACCTGAAGGTCCATTACTATATGGGGTAACTGTCACATCCAGAGCAGTAAAGTTGAGTTCCAAAAAGAACAAACAAACCTATATATAAAAAGAGGACCTCAAATACAGTCTCCTCTCATGTATGCAGGCTCCATTGGGAAAGGACCAGACTTACTGTAAGCACCAGGAGGGAGTTTAGAAAAGCTAGAAGCGGTCAAGTTGATATCAGGAACTTGAAGTAACTAATACACAAGGTTGCAATGAAGCAGGTGGAGACCTCAAACACGATCACTAAAGTGCCCAGAGCAGAAGAAAATACACCTAAAGATGTCAACCCTCCCTAAGGCCCAGAGATTACTGAAACATTCTCAGGCCACAAAGGGTGAACTCCATCAGAGTTTATGGACTTCGTCCATCATCCAAGGTTAAAATAAAATGCACATGATGTTTCAAAAACAGGATCCATTTTTGTCTTCAGGTGTCTCAATCACAGTGATTGAGACTAGCCCCATACATCTGAAGATGAAAACAAACTATATCATACCATCATCAGAACCCTACAGAATTCAGATAAACTGCATGTTTCTGATCTCTAATAGTGAGACAGACCACCAATATGTGTGCACAGAAGTCATTTCACCATCAAGCATCACATGAAGACAGGGACCTATGAGGCCCTAATTAGACTAAATGAAAACTATCTTCAAGAAATAATGTTAATTGCTCACCATGCCATACTACCCATACAGCAACCTCCACACAACACATATTCTATATAGATGGATGGATTAATTTTGGCAATTTAACAGCACTGAATCAACTGCAAAGGAGATTAATGTCAATAGGGGAAGTTGAGGTACTCACCAATGATGCATGGGTACTGCTCATTGATGATATATGAAAGTGGCCAAACACATAAAAATTTTGCAGGTGAAATATTTCTTTGGTTATTACGTTATCAACATGATGCAATATAAAAACAGTCAGTGTCTCAACATTTTAAAAATATGTACCCAACACTAAAATTAATCTGATCCTATAACACTGCAAGACATGTTTTAGACAATCTGTAACTCCCATAGTAAGAAGTACTTCCTGTGCAATGCTAACAACACAGAGTATTATTTCAGATGGGTATTTTGTCTCAAGCAAAATGGATATGAAAGGAAGGAGCCAGAGGAGAGGGAATGGAACAAAATCTAAAAAATAACCACAAAACCTTATTCAGGTATGTTCAAGTAGTACCCAGTTCTGAACAACTGACAAGTTGATATATCTTTTCACACAAAAAATACAACATCCCTATTAAGAAAACTGTTCATGTCAATTTAAATTATACATTTTTGGCAAGCAACATTAGTTCTTGTGACCAGTATTTATAGATGTTAGATGAATAAATCTGTGACAACTTTCAGGGAAGGAGAATCCAGTCCAGAAACCAAGCCACAGCTGGTATGTTACTAGAATGGATCTCAAAGATACAGAATGTAGATTGCATTCATCTGCCTGAAAATATGATCTAGTAGCAGGCTCTTGTCTTCAGACAAGCATTTGATAGTCTCAATAGGGACCAAATGTTAAATGATATTCTCCTATTAGGGATACCATCTAAATACATCAGGCTCATCAGAGCGACGTTGAAAGACTCCAAGGCTGTAGTAAGAGTAGATGGTGAGCTAACTAAACCATTTAAATACAATATGGGAGTTAGACAAGGAGATGCTCTCTCGACAATGCTCTTTAACCTGACGCTGGAAGCATCTATTCGGAAACTTGAGATCTCAGGACATATAGGCATCAAATCAATACACGTGAGTGCATATGCAGATGATCTAGCTATTATTAGCAGGAATAAAGCTGCACTGGAAGAAACAGTATTAAAATTGATAGAAGAAACAGAATTAAGGGGGCTAAAAATAAATGAATCGAAAACAAAATATATGAAAGTTACAAGAGCAGCAAGAAATGTCACAAATAAATTGAGAATAGGACATTATAATTTTGAACATGTGCAGAATTTTAATTACCTGGGTTCACAGATTAATACTATAAATTCAGTAACTAATGAAATTAAAGCACGTATTGTGAATGGTAATAGGTGTTACTATGCCTATCAGAATTTAATGAAGTCTAAAATACTGGGGAGGGGACTTAAACTGAGAATCTATAAAGTTCTGATAAGACCAGTAGTCACATATGGATGTGAAGCCTGGACATTAACTAGCTTTGATGAGCAACAACTTAGAATATTTGAAAGCAAAATATTACGGAAAATCTATGGTCCAATACAGAATAGTGATGGCTCCTGGAGAATTAGGATGAATCACGAACTAGATTGTATCATACAGGGAGCAGATATCGTGAGGCTAATCAAAAGCAAAAGGTTAACCTGGCTTGGCCATGTTGCAAGAATGGAAGGAAACAGGGTAACTAGAAGAGTGATGGAATGGAGACCGATGGGAAGAAGGATGAGAGGGAGACCACGGAAACGATGGATAGACGACGTGGAGGAGGATGTGAGGACGATGGGAGTAAGGGGATGGAGAAGAATTGTGGATGATAGGACAGAATGGAAAAAATTCATCAAACAAGCTAAGACCCACACAGGGTTATAACGCTATAAGAAGAAGAAGAAGAAGCAGGCTCTTGTAAAGATGGTAATAAACTTCAGAGTTTCATAAAAGAATGGTAGTTTAGTTGAATGATTATTAGCTTCTGAAGGACTCTGCTTCACGGAATTATTTCTGTTCAAATGTCTACATATACACAAAGCAGAAAAATCTACTGAAATATCAAAATAAATTATCCATTTCTGATCATCAGCTTCAAATCCCAAGTTGACATTCTGCACAGTCACCCTTCTTAGGTAAATTTGTTTAAAATATATATCTCATTCCAAGCATGCAAAAACATACCAGAATTGATTCTGGACCTAGTCCAACCACTCGAAGCCACTGCTGCAATGATGGAATATGTTCCAACTCTGCAAACTGTGTATCATCTTTCATTTTTGCCTTTGTCATCAACTGGTGGGCATACATTTTAATTAACTTTCCCTAAAAGTTAAAAATTTATATCAGAAACCAACTTTTTATATCATGACTCTTAAGGGCATTCAGTATTAACACAGGGTTACTGATTTTTGCAAATGTTATCAAAATGTACTATCGCATACAATAACACAAATCATCTATCATAACACAATAAAATACACTTATACTGACCTCCAGGGTTCTTATTTCCTGCTGTGTAAGTTCTGCGCTTGTTGCACATTGTGTTCTCAATCCTTCCAAACGATATGCTGAAATGTCAATCATAGACTGCACAACCAGCAGTATCTCACGTCCTGTTTCTTGATGTGTCACTTCGTCCGCCATCACACCTAACATACTAGCTACAGAAATATCTCATATTTGGAAACCAGCCAATAGTCCACTTTTAATGTTACAAATAAGAGTTTTTGAAGTAAATACATCTTAAATATTCAATACACGACAAAACACTCCGCCATCTTGAAAGGTATGTTATATCTCCCTTTTTACGATATTTTCAGTCTTCTCGGAAAACCTGAGATTAAAGATGGCGATTTGCTTGTTGTGTTTGAATTGCTTATAGGCAGTTCATAATTTTGTTAAAACGCATTGGTTATCAGATGATTAAATTATTCACATTTTTAAGACGTTTCTTCAAAGTATAGCATTTACGTTAGAAGCACACTGGAAGGATAAACAAGTTAGAAAGCATAAATTACCTTTATAAACCTAAGGCAGAATTTGTCATTTGTGGTGACATTAATGTTGATTGCCTTACTGAAAGCTACCACAAACAATGTCTGTACTCCCTACTAACATCCTTTAATCTCATGTCAATAGTTAACTACTCCAGTACTGTCATTAGTAATGTTTTTATAGATAGTTCAGGAAAGATCATGTTTCTATTGAATCGGTGACAAATGGGCTCTATGATCATGATGCTCAACTTCAAGTTATAAAAAAATATTGAGTCGATATCTAATTATCATAATTACAGGAAACAATTCAGACTTATAAATAATAACACTATTAAAGAATTTATAATGCACCTAAATAATGACAACTGGGAGTCAGTAGATTCAAAATTTAACACATTCCTAAATATCTTCTTAAGAAATTTTGAATAGATTGTGGTAAATTTTATGTTGCTCTTTTGAGTTATTGTATCATAATTTGGCTGTAAAGCAGATGTTTTTCAAGTGCATGTCAGGGATTATTACTTCTTTATTGAACCACGATTACAACGTGTTAGAAATTTCCTGAGTACAATTAAGTACAAAAATACAGTTATTTGCTAGTGTGACCATTTACAAAATTTTTTGTCCTGTTATAACTAGCATTTCAACTCCTTCATTCAGGTGTAGCCTGTCCACAGTCATGTCACAAATACATTTTAATATATTTTGTCCCAATAAAAAGACGGCTTTCATTGTTCTGTCCTTTATTCAAGAAAGTATGAATAAAATTGATCAATTTGTAATTTTTCTTTTTGTTTTAGAAATGTACCAAACTAGACATATTACTCTGAAGGTGTTAAAAATGTTAAAATATTTGATGGGTAAGTGTCATGAAAAGCGATTGAAAATAAAGGGCACAAATGAATGTGCCAAAATAATGTCCCAAAATCCAGTTGTGTTTATTCATAAAAAAGTGACATTTAAAAATAATTTGCACCTTCATGGCTAACCCTTCTACCATTTATTTTGATATTGTATTGCCAATGCTTTTGAGTTCAAGAGTTTTTCATGATATTTTTCTACCAAATTTTATGTTTTTAATACTCTCAGAGTAAGAGGCCACATCTGACACCTTTGTGAAACAAGAAGAAAAATCCCAGATGAACAGATTTTATTCTTTACTTTCTTGAATAGAAGAACAGAATAATGAAAACCCTATTTTTGCTGAGATAACATTTTAAAAGTGCATTTATTAAATCATGTCATATAACCATTACCAAAACAAAATAAGTTCCTTTCTGTTTCAGCATTACCAATATTTAACTTGTCATTAGTCATAAATTTTAAGAGCCATAATCTGAAGTAATTGAAACCCATTGATATAAGAATTAAAAATGGTAACAATCATATGCTTTGAAAGTTATATCATAATTATATTATTTTTAATTATGACTTTTGTTATAGTATACGTCAAAATACATCTCTATATAAGAAACTGTGAGAATAAATACTATTATCTATGAAAATGTATGCATGTCATGTCATTGCTAGAGTTTTAAACCTTTTATGACATTGTATTTCAGGTATGTCCCATATGTACCTCCTATTTCAAGATCTAGAGAAATCTGGAAATGAAGATAAGATTAAAATACTGCAGTCTTTGGGTCATCTACTGTCTTCTAATTTTGAAATGAAAGATGAATTTCACAAACTAGGAGGTGTTTCAGTCATTCTAAAATATTTAGATAAAGATGACTGGAAGATTGCTGGAAATGCATTTCACATTCTTGGATTCTCTATATTGCAACGTGTAAGATAGATACTACTTTCAGTGCTTGGTGCTGCATACATTGTATATTAATACATATTTAATAAATATCAGGTTCTATAAACATAACTCCACTAGTTTCACAAAGTTATTGAAGAAGAAACTTAAAAATTTGTCTTATGGTAACAGGAGGTTAAAACTCTTATACTGTGAGGTTGATGGCCACAACTTAACTCTGGGGTAAACAGTTTAGCTGTACAGTAGTGTGATATATGGCCCACTTAACTGATTGTAGGGAATACTGCACAGACAGTAAAGGTTACATTTTTATATAGTAGTAGTAACTATATGCTTTTTAATGCTCATTAATTCTATATTTTGTCCCGAGAGAGTGTGTTTATAATTTCAATTTTTATCAGAATAAACAGCAATTATTTTTATGAATATCA